AAAAAAAAAAAAAAAGGGATGAAATTTTATTTAAAAAACTGGGGAAAAAAGATATAATCTTATATCTTTTTTTCCGGTTTTTTAAATAAAATTTCATCCTTTTTTTTTCTTTTTTTTAATACTGTTGTTTGTTATTTTTTTACTTATTATTTCCCCCTTTTTTCATATGTCTTTAATTTTTCTTTGTTTTATTCTTCATTTTGAACTTATATATTTATATATATATATATATACACACACACCACACACATGTATAGCACAATAAGGGTAAAAAGAAAAGAGAAAAAAATTAAGAAAAATAATAAGTTTTATTTACTGCACATAAGCTGCAAGTATATAGAGCTCATAAAATAAGTGAAAAATATAGAGAAAACGTGAAAAATAATATAATAAAACAAGAAGAAAAATTATTAAAATAAAATATTTTTAAAAACATTTTTAAATTATTAATCTTGTTTTCAGACTTTTTAATCTTTTTTTTTTTAAATATTATATTTTAATAATTTTTCTTCTATTTTCATTAATTTTTATTATATTATTTTCCATCTATATATAAACTAATCTATTTAAATTATATCAATCTTGAAGGCTCAATTTTATTTCTGAAAATTGAGTAGAAACCTTGCGTCAGTTTTTTTTTTTTTTTGCATTTTAATAGTGTTATTGTGCATTGTCAAGATTTCTCTTTGTTTTTTCTTCTTAGTTAATAGGAAACCTGTAAAGATCCGAAAAAGAAAAGAAACAGAACGATTTGTGTGTTACCAATGTCCATTCAGAAGTGATTCAGAGTCAGAGATGACCCAACATTTGATGACCCATAGTTCAGATTTGAATTTTTCTTGTTTAATTTGCAAGCAGAAATTTTATTTCCAGGACGATCTTGCAGCTCATTTTAACTCACACAGTGAGAAGACATTCAGGTGTGAAACATGTTTCAGTGACTTTTCTAGGATAAGTTCCCTTATGTATCACCGCAAAACACATCTTGACTCAAGATCCTTTACTTGTAAGTACTGTGATAAAGTATTCAGCGATGTTTTTGCATTTAATCAGCATGAAGCTACTCATAATGACCCCTTCCTTAATAATGTTGGTTCTTAATTAGTTAATATTTTAGGAAATTTCATAATTTCCTTTTTAAGAAGAAAAAATATACATTGCTTCATTTATAGTTTGTATACATTCGCTAACTTTAAAAGTTTGAAGAAAAAAAAATACACAGCTTTTAAACTTTAGAAATCCACTGAAAACTGCTAAAGTTTTGAGATTTTATATATCACAGTTTTTATGCAACTCAAAAAGCGATTTTCTCAAAACAACATCTTGAAAAAGGTAACAGCAATTATTATGGCAACTGTATCCATTTGTTTCAAAAACAATTTGTTTCATTTTGGCTTTTTCTTTTAAAATTCATTAAATTCTTTGATATATAAGGAAAACCCTGTTTATCTTTTAGGTAAATATCTTTATTTTATAATTGATGACATGTTATTCGTAATAGATTTTTACATGATAATTAGGACTAATTAAATAGTTTTTAATTAAGTTAATAGTTCAGCATTTGATTATGTATTTTTTGTGACTAATACTTTTAGAATTATTAGAGAAAATCTTGTTCAAAGTTCCATGTTACATCGTAAAATGTGATAACATAAAATATGTATCATCCCCGTGGCAGAATCACAGCGACATTGACGCAGAATGTTACAGAGTTATTGCGCAAAGATTTTTTTTTTCTTCAGAAATTTACAAGCAATATTTGAATCATGCATTCAGATGAACACTTTTTGGTGAGCACAATTTATACCGATGGTATTGTAAATCGGTGTAATGTTTCAATTGTATTTTTGGCAGTTATTGATATTGATTTTCACCTGGTTTTTAAAGATCCCGATATATTTCAAACAATATGAAAAATTTGAATCTTACATTTGAGTATTTATTTTTTAAAGCAATAATTCTATCGAATTTTTGGCAGTTACTGCTATTGATTTCACCATGGTTTTTAAATCCGACATTTTTATATGATATTATTTATTGCAATAACCTAATCTCGAAAGGAGATACGCATTTGAGAAGTCCGATTTTCTTGATTTCGTATTCGATCTTTTTTTTTTCGGCAATTACTACTACGGATTTCCTTATTTTTAATTTTATTTTTTTATTGTGATGATTTTTTACAAAATACGAAAAAGGAAATAATTTGTAAGTCCCCCCCAACAGAATGCGAGAATATCATCCATAAATGTAGAAAAATAACCACATATTCAATTAAAAAGAATTATATAGTTTTTTCTTTTGTAAACACAGCGCTTTTGTTATTTAAATTATTGGCATATATGTTTGTTATTATTAAAAGTATCTTGCAGAACGATATTAGTACTAGAAAGTTTTGTCACAGATAGCTCGAAAAAATTCTGCCACAGGGTGCATCATAACTTTCAGCAATGTTTGAGTTAATGTAATGTTTGAGTAAATTTAAATCGCTATTTCTTAAAATCATGGGGGAAATTGTCAAAGTTTGCAGGTGGTTATAACTATGTAAATTTCTTAAACATTTTTACTCCTAAAAATTTACCATGTTTACCACATGTCACCGGTGATAATAATCTAAAAGCAATATTATCACTAAATTATGAAGTATTTGTCTGCTTTTATTGTTTTACATTTGTAATTTGAGATGATTTTAGTCATGTGAATATTCTATTGAATAAATGCTTGAACATTATTTAAAGAATGTTGATTAAGCATTAATCATCTTTTAAAATTTTTAGAAATATTCATTCTTTGTATTTAATTTCTTCATGCCATTTTTTAAATAGAAAATATAAACATAAGACTTTTATATTCAAGATGTCCTTCTCCCAATGTTATATTTAATATGAGAATCACAGCTATGTATCTGTTTCCTTTTTCTTGTGTTCATCATACATATTTTAAATTTTCTGATATGCTTGTCACGTGATTTTTGCTTATAATATTCATTGTTATTAAATTAATAGTAGAAAAACCATTCCTTTAAAACTTTTTTTTAACTGCCTAAAAAGGACTTTGCTTTTAGCTTTTAAATATAAATTTTAAATATATTATATACATAGCTGCCAACTCTACTGGATTTTCCAGTAGACTACTGGATTTTTCCAGTTTCTCCTGGTTTTTGTACATTTTAGCAAACTCCCTAAAATTGAGTCAGTTTCATAAAAATCCCTATTGAAATAGAATTTTTTTTATAGATTATTGCTTGAATATTTAAATAAGTATTACTAATATATGATAAGGAAATCCTCATTTATAAAAATCAGTTTGAAGCTTTTTTTGTTCTAAAATGTTTGGTTTATTTTTATTCAGAACTCCCTTTATTACATGTATTAAAACATCTTAATTATTTCGTATGAATTATATGCTTATTCAAAATTACAAGTAAACATAATTCACAACATTTCAAGCATATTTAACGCCAATTATGACTGGAAAAATTGCAGTTTTTCTATTTTGATGTCTATAAAAATCCCTAAAATTCCCCGTGTTTAAAATATTTAGCACATTTTGCTACAGTTATCATGAAATTTATATTATTTTGTAAAATCTACTGGATTTTTGTCTATCTATGTTGGCAGCTATGTATATATATATTGAGGTTTAAGATTTAAATCATGAATGAACAATAATAATATTTTATTTTATAAAGAGTTCAAAATTAAATTTTCTTGCGTTTCATACAGCTTTAATTTCTTCGTTTTAATTTTATTAATAATCTTATTAATTAAATTATTCATTTGATATTGGCATACATATCTATTGGCTGCACATCTGCAAATGAATTTGGGTTGAATATTGACAGCAAAGCCCTCTCTTCATCTCAATTATTCATTTTTCAAAAAAAAAAAAAAAAAAAAGCTTTATTTTCTAGAAATTATTTTTATTTGAAGAAAATTATTACTTTTTTACTTACAAGTTAAAGATTTTGAGTCAAGATTTGTTAGTTATGAGTTATTTAATTTAAAATATTATAAACTTTAGACTGGTTATTTCATAAACTTGTGAAACTCAGTTAATTTTTAATTGGTGAAACTAATTACAAATTTATTTTGGTTTTTATATGCATAGAACATTAAATTATTTTTTCTCTTCAAAGATCTCAAAACTCTATTTACTGCCTTTATTTGTTTCAAGTGTGAGCCAATTATATCATTTTTTAAAATTTTTTTTAGGCGTAACAGTTTTAATTTTTGTGTAAGTTATCTATTTTTAATTTGAAAGGAATAGATTTATAATGTAATTATATGTTGATTCCTGATTTTATCTCTTACATACGAAAAAAAAACACATTTTAATGCACTGTAATTGTAATTTCTTTATCATTAAATATAAAAATAAACTTTTCAGCTTTTAAATTTTTTCTTGTTTATGTCATTATTAGTCTACAAAATGATACAAGGGCTTAAATTTATTCTTATACAATTCTTATTGTTTTATTCAGAGTGTTTACATATTGATTGTGCTTAGAAGATATTTTCTATAAAATTATATCAGTGAAATGTTCTGCTTATTGTCTAAAAGTGAACTATATTTCCTGTCATTAAATGTGATGAGATTAAAGTCAAATAAAGTACAATAATTTGAGCTGAAATACATTTCTCAATTTTTTATATTTATTAACTTTCATTGTTATAGAGTTTTTTTTAAAGTGATTTAAAGATTTAGTTATTTTTATATGTTTCTTTATGAAAAGTATCTCTTTAGTAAAGACCAGTATGTCCAGTTATACTAGGGGTGCACAACCTTTTTGAGTGAAGGACCACTTACTTTCTCAGCAGATTGAAGGGTCAAATATTAAAGTATTCGCATATGATGATGTCAAATATAATAATTTTTATGTGAACATCAGTGTTTTATAGGGGAAGTAATTTTTTAAAAATCTATCTATTTAGTATTGTACTTAAATAAAATTAAATACTTCTGAACGTTAGAATTCATTTAAAATTTAATAATGCAAAACTGATACTTTTTTTCTAAAAATGAATATTCCTATCTTAAAAATAAATGAGTGTATGTAAAACATGGCAAAAGTAATGTTTTCTTTTTTCAAAAGTGCATTTTAAAATAAATTCTAGCAATTAAAAAACTTTATGCTCATAAAATTAATGTATAAAGAAATTAAATTTTTTATTGATTAAGGGAACAAACAGTCCCCTTCAATTCTTGTGTAGATCTTCGGATCCTGCAGGTGGCGGTCCCATGCTTGAATGAAGGAAGAGGTTAGAGTCTCTTCCTCGTAAAAAACCGTTTGACTACAGAATTTAAAGGTCTGCGAATTGATGCATTACTAGCTGGAACAGCAATTTGTGTTGTTTTCAATGACGCGTTTATTTTATTCTTTGGAGTGAAGGGGGAAGGAATGAAGCGGCTTGGGGAAAACCTTCGGGAACCTTTGCAGTAGAAAGAGATCAGATTTGAAGCCCAAAACTAACCTTTATTGGATCATGGAATGTGATGACTATGTTTTAATGGGGGAAAACAAAGCAGGTTGTTTTGGAAATGAAATGGTATAATTTGGATATTCTTGGAATATTAGAGATACGTCGGAAATGTTTTGGGAAGCCCAGGACAGGGACTCGTTTCCAAATTTTGAAGCGAAAGTGCTTCAGAATTCAGCTAAATATACCTTTGGTTTAAAACAGTATAGCCCTGTTAATATCGCAATGGGCATCCGACGGAAAACGCAAAAAAAGGTCGAGACTAAATTACAGAGATTTGTGCAAAGTAAAATGAAATGGATGGGAGCCCGGTAAGTTATGGCAGAATTCGCTGAGTGAATGAGTACCGGTGAAAAGTTTAGACTCTTATTTCTTTCAAAAATAGTTAAATATTTCTGACTTAAACATATAATTTATCAAACATAAACATTACCAAACTTCACAAAACGCTGTTTCCATTTAAAACTGTTCATTATTTTTTTATTTTGTATCTATTCAGTAGTTGATAAAGTAATGAACGAAAGAGCATGCAAATACTTATTCTAAATAAAGTGCAATTTATTTTTAAAAAAAATTTCATTAATTTTTAGTTTATAAACTATATCTTTTAATCTTCTTTTGTAAGGTTCATTATAAGTTAAGTTCATGTACATAACACATTTAGAATATTGATATAATAGCTTTCATTTAACAGAATAACCGGTGCATATTAAAAACAAAAGTTAGCATTGTTTTATACAATTTACTACAGAAATATGGGTCAAAAACCAGAAATAAGTTTCGAATCACGTGCAGTTATTATTGCATTTCATGGAGAAGGCTATTCACGTAGACAAATTGCCTCTGAACCTAATATTTCCCTGACCACTGTTGTCAGAACTTCGCAGAAGAACAAAGAAACTGGTCGAAATAACAGCCGTCTACGATCAGAGAGACCTAGAATAACGTCTAAACGTGAGGATAAGTTTATCTGCATTTAAAGAAAGCGGCTGAGGACTCAAATACCGCCAGAAAACTGTGTTAGGTGTTAGTAACTGTAGAACGTAGACTTCGTGACTATGGTTTAAAAGGTCGTGCAGCTGGAAAACCTTTTTTGAAAAACGAAACAGTTAAACGTCTGAAATGAGCTAAAAAACATGTTAACTGGTCTTTAGAACAGTAGTCAAACGTTTCGTTTACTGACCAGTCAAAATTTGAGTTGTTTGGAAACAAACGAAAGCATTATGTTCGTCGTTAAGCTGGTGAATGAGAAATCAATGTTTACTACCAACTGTGAAGCATGGTGAAGGTTCAGCCATGTTTTGGGGGTGTTTTGCCGGTGACAAAGTTGGAAGTTCTTGTAAGAATAAAGGGAATTATGGATAAAAAATATTACCACAGAATATTGCAGCTTTACGCTTTCCTATGTGGACAGAGAATCGTTGTTCAAGGATTTGATTTTCAGTAAGATAACGATCCGAAACATTAATCGAAATTGTGTAGAAACTGCTTTGCATCAAAAGAAAATACTGAAATACAAGTATTTGCCCCCCTCCCCCAATCCTAAGATATCTATCCTATTGAACTATTGTGTGATTAACTCGATAGAAATTTTAGAAAAGTAAGATGTACTAAAAACAAACTTCGGGAATCTTTACTTAGCTGCTGGAACCAGATCTCAATTAGAGCTTCGCGTGCAGATCGTTGGGCTACCGAAGCGGGGGTGCCATCCCCTTTGCAGAGGATCAAAATTGTGATGGCATGTCTTCGGATCATCCTCAGGGATGTTTCATAGACCGTCGCCAATAGCCCATTGTGCAGCTCTAGTGCGACGTAAATAAAACTACAACAATTAGAGCATTGCAAAAACTAATAGAAAGAATGCCATAAATATAAGCTACTGTGATTAAGGCTAAAGGAGGATATTTGGAAGATTGGACGAAATTCATAAGTTATACATAAAAGTATAGTTCTTACCTCATAAGGGTACCTATAAGTATCAAAATAAAGTTCATTTGTTAAGATTTTCAGTTTAAAAATCTTGTTATTTGTTCATTTTTAAAAATTCAAGAGTGAGTCTAAACTTTTGACCGGTCTGTACATATAACAAAATTTGCAAATATAAGGTCTTTAAAATTTATGCGTAAAAACTTTCTGATATTTAAGTTGAATTTCACACAATCATGCACTTAGACCTGTAATTCCCGATAGCAACGCTCGAATACGCCGTCTGGGGAGAAGACTATAAAAAAATATAATATAGACCTCACCCCTTCCCTCTCTTTTCCCTTTTCAGTTGTATAGGAATGTACTACGATATCTTTATATATATATTTCGACTGTTCGTGTGTATGTCACTGAACTCCTCCTAAACGGCTGGACTGATTTAAATGAAATTTTCTGTGTACCTTCAGAAGGATTCGAGAATGGTTTAGATTCACAATAGAACATTCTGCCACAAACCGTTCCAGCGGTATCAGCGAAAATCGAAATGGAATTTTCTGATTGGTTAAAAGTTAGCCATTGTTTTAAATTTTGCTGNACGCTGCCAATACTCTGATTTGAATCTCAGTGCATTTCACTATGATCCGACAACCAACTATAGTCTTTCACCCAAGCGTCATCATCGGAAAAATGGATCAATTATGTATGTTTTGTAGTGCTCTCAAATTTAAGAATGAAACAGCTGGAATTTGCTGTTCTGGAGGCAAAGTGTAACTACCAGATTTAACGTCGCCAGCCGAGCCATTATCAACGTTGTTATCGGGTCAAGCAAATCAATAGAAACTTTTCTTGGCGAATATAGGTCAGTACATTCGTGTTTCCAAATGACTTCATTCGGTGCTGCTACAAGTATCGGTGCGCATATGGACAGCTAGAGTTATTTATTACATTCACATGCAATCCTGCTTGAGCTAAAATTAAAGAGCTTTAGTAACTTAGGCAAACATCATCGGATCTTCATGATGCATTATCACACGTGAGTTAAAACAAATATTAAGCTCTAAACTTGGTTTTATTGCGAAAAGTCATGTTTTTAGAGAGACACGGTGTTTGATGCATTCTATTGAACGGCAGAAAAAGAGAATTGCCACATGATTTGGCTTATTGAAAAACTCACACCAGGACAAATTGGTCAGCTCATATCAGCAGAAATATTCATGACGCCATTGATCCAGAATTATTTCAGATCAGCATTCAAAATATGTTTCATGGTCGGTGTGCATCAAAATACATGTCTGTTTGAAAATGCACTAACGATATCCTGGAGAATTAACTGTTGAGACTATCACTGGTTTTTTCACCATTAAATAAAATTCTCCATTCAAATCATAATCACAAATCCACAAATCTCATTTACACACTTAAATACAAAATTTAAATTCAAACTGAAAGCGTTGCAACGCACGCGGGGTACAGCTAGTTTTCTAATATTTTTCGTATTTAATTGTGAAAAATATTTTTTAAAATTACCACGATGCTTTCTTTTAGAATTATGTTCAATGTAGTTTTGAGTTCCATATAGTTTCCTAACTTAAGAAACTAACATGCTACCTTCTCCTATGCTATCTCCACTCGCTAATGGTGAAAACATGCGAAAGTGTTGCTATAGGTAGAGAGTTTTGCTATGCGCCACCTGTAACCCATTTCGATCGCCAATTAAATAACAGCAAAATTGATCTTGGCTTTTTTTTCTTCTTTGAGGTGTTTTCTCAGTTGAGTATTTTAATTTTGATAAGAAACAAGTATAGAGTCGTTTTAAAAAGGAGTTTTAGCAACTTTCTCCTATTTGAAGGGCTGCCATTGGAGACTAAAACGACTATTTTAAAGCAATAGCTACTATGGCGACTATTTTAATATAAATATGAGTAAAAACAACTTAATCTGCAATGAGTTGCATAAAATCGGCGACTTTTTTAAGCCAATTAGCGACTAAAATCAAGAATAGCTTCATGAGTTTCCCCCTTACCCCCACTTTTTTTTGCCTCGCTTTCGTTTTATCCTAACTTTATTCTTCCTCACTATTTGATGTCAAAAGCAAGACAGACATGTTTAACCAATCAGACTGATGGAATTTGAATTCGCACTACGTGAATGCTCCTGCTTCAGAAAGCTAATGTAATATCTCTGCGGGTTTCGTTTTCCCCCCTCTTTTAATTTGAACAAAGTAGCA